TTCCCGTGCCGGTGCTGCTTCCCGTGCCGGTGCTGCTTCCCGTGCCAGTACTGCTCCCAGAGGTGGTTGTGGTAGCCGTGCTGCTGCTCCCAGTGCCAGTTCCAGTGGTGGTGCTGGACGAGCCACTGGTAGTGGATTGGCCTGTAGGACAAACCGTGCTAATGACATATCATTAGTATACAATTCTTTGTGATCAATCAATCAGCACAGCTTACATGGTATTCGTCACCAGGCTATCGGTGGCAAATGTAACGACAGTGTCGATGGTCCCTGGGGCACCAGTTACGGTTGCCACGATGTTGGGAGCCAAGGTGATGGGGCCGTTGGTAGAGAAGTAGCCAGTGACACGGATAGGCTGCTGTACAACGATATCGGTCGGAGCAATGGCAATTGTCATGGTGCCAAAGGGGCAAAAGTCCTGACACTGCGCATCCTGGCGCTTGCGAAGCGCAGAGAGCAGCGTGATGCCCAAAGCCTTGGGAACCATGATGGCGGATATATGAAAAGAAAGAACGTGACAGGGATACTTTTGCAGGACTGATTTCCGCTTTGAATAGAGAAACGAAATGAGACGAACCTAGTCACTGGCTGGGACGAGTGTTTATAGTCGGCAACCCGACCCCCCCTTACAACACGGGTACCAATAGCTCGTTCGTCCCAGCTTAGGCGTGCCGACACGGACGCGAATTGAGTTCAAGCCGAAATTGCTACATTGACGCCTCCTTCTTCAGCTGTTTGATTATTTTTATTTTGACATTCTCAGAGCTTGTCTCATTCCGGCGAGGGCAGAGCAGAGTGCGCGGGTCGAGGCCCCCTCGCACCCTCGTCGCATCTGCTAGGACAGTTCCAGAACAGCGCGCCCACACGACCGATTGCTAGTTTTCCGGACCAGGTAGCTGGTGGACCAGTTCAGATGAATCATATAGCTGAGCTTGATCGTGTTTATTGACAATATCTCGTCAAGAGCCTCATATTTGAGTTTACGCGTTGTAATCGGCAGCCCACTCACACATGTCCAATATCTCGGAGTCTCGGATTCTGGACCGCAGCCACAACATAGCCAGTCCACAAACGACTCACAACACAGCATCTCTATCAATTAGCCTTTGACGCGCTTTGGGAACAGCTAGTCTACAGTGAGCTGTTGTCGCCGGTCGAGCTAGTCATGTCCTCATGGGGCAGCACAGCTCGAAGTGACGAATCTCCCCGATCCGTATAAGAGTCTTTAGCCAGCCCATCATTCCACTGTATCTCGCTTTGCACCCACCATCACACTTGATTTCCAAGTCTCTTCACTCTTTTTCGTCGCCATGCGCATGCAAACTACCACCGCGGCGCTCTCGCTGCTCCTCAGCGCTGGCTACCTCTCTCTTGTCGACGGCTGTCCCACCACCACGACAGTCACCCTCTCAACTGTCACAACTACCACAACACTTCCTACAAAGACAGTTTGTGGGGCACCTGTGCCGACAAACCCGTACCCTGGTGGTAACAACCCCGGCGGCAACTATCCGGGAGGCAACAACCCCGGTGGTAACAACCCCGGTGGTAACTACCCAGGAGGCAACAATCCTGGAGGCAACAACCCTGGAGGCAACTATCCGGGAGGCAACAACCCCGGCGGTAACGGCGGTGGCGGCACTGGAATCGATTGCCACGTCTGCCAAACTGGAGGCAACCCCGGTGGTAACCCTGGAGGAAGCTATCCAGGAGGCAGTGGCTCCGGCGGCAGTGGCTCCGGCAGCAATGGCTCTGGCAACGGGTCCGGCTCTGGCTCTGGTTCTGGCAATGGCTCCGGCTCTGGTTCCGGCTCTGGTTCCGGCTCTGGCAATGGCTCCGGCAGTGGCTCTGGCAATGGCTCTGGCAATGGATCTGGATCTGGCTCTGGCAATGGTTCCGGCTATGGCTCCGGCTCTGGTTCTGGCAACGGCTCTGGATCTGGCTCTGGCAACGGCTCTGGT